CTATCTCTTCTTCCCTCCTCTTTCAGCCAGTGGGCTCTCAGCTGCCCACAGCACCCATTCTTCCCCTTCCCCCAGGGCCCCAGAAACCTGGAGACCCAAAGCCACCGACCCCAAGTGCTTCCATCCCTCCCCCCACTCACTGCAGGATGCCAATGTAATCCTCCAAGGTTGCCGGGTGAGCCGACTGCCAGTTCTTCTTGAAGCCAAGCACCAAGATGTTGGGTTTCATTCTCCCCAGACCTGTGGCCTGCGGGTGGGGGTGGGGCAGAGACTCAGGCCCCAAGGGGACACTGATTGGGGAACGGTGGGGCCCCCTCAGTCCTGGCCAGACTTGCCTCCTCTCAGTGGGACTCAAGAAGGCACACTCATTCTAAGGCTCAGCTACAGCCGCTCAGACCCTGCCCGTGTGGCCCTGCCAGCCCCAGGTCCACAGGTGGTCTGGCCCCACAGCCCTGGCTATCCTAGCTCCTATTTCCCCAACAAACCAGAGGCGTGAGACTGGGGATTACGCCCTGAGTCAGCCGATCCATACTTTTCCTAATTTTGAGAAACATTTCAAGCCTGATGTCCACCATTCAGAATTAGCCACAGGTGTTACTCAAGCATCGCCTTTCCCAGAAAACAAAATGCCACGTAGGACCTTCTCGATCTCCATACGAGCTGTTGGGGCACAACCACATGGTGTCCACATACATAAGCCTTGATCAGACTGCACACTCACTGTCTGTAAGTGATATCTGTCTTAACAAGGTCGTTAAGCCCCAGACCGAGCTCAGCTCCCCGGGCGCTGGCACTTGGAGCAAGTGCCTGAGTCAGCACATCTGGAGGAGCAGGAAGTGGGGAAGGGAGGCGGGGCAGAGCCACCAATAAAAGTTGCATTTGAAAGACGAGGACTCCTAGCAGACGCTGTGTGTCAGAGCAGACCTGCACCCTGTGGACTCCCAATGACTGATTTTATAAAGAGAGAGAGACTGATAGGCCTTTCTTCCCAGCAGCTTCAGGACAACCTCCACCCCCCACCCCCAGTCAGCAGCAGCATGTGTTAACCTGTGCACCCCCCTCTCCCCCGGCTCCTGTGGTGCAGCAGAGGGGCTCCCCAGTGGTCACAGCACCTGCATGAGAATCTGCACCCCGCTGCGCAGGTCCTCAGCGATGACGTCCGAGTAGAAGGCCTTGATCTTCCTCTTGTTCAGCCACTTGGTGTGTCCGTTGGCAATGAGCCGGAGCTCCGGCAGCCTCTGTTTTCGGGGTCCCTGTGGGCGAGGTGTGGGGGTGCCTCAACCTCCAGCAGGTGAACCAGCACCTGAGAGCAGCCAGGCTCCGGGTACTGCAGCTGTCGTGGTGGGGGGATGGGGGCGGTACTCACAACGAGCACGTGACCACAGATCATCAGGCTGAGGTTCCTGGTGAAGGTGCCCACAAAGTCCACCAGCGCTGGACGGAAGTTGGGGGGCCCAGTGAGCACCAAGCACTGGGGGCTAACGAGGGGAGAGAAAGGGGGGGCACCAGGGCCTAGGTGTGAACGCAGGCCCCGGGGGTGCGCCCTCCCCGGAGCTACCAACCTCCTGTGCTCTCAGCCAGGTCTTCCAGCTGTGACTCCAGGTGACACACAGGGCCCTTCCAGCCAGGCCTGCATCGTCCTTCCTGCCCAGGCCCCAGCGCCCACCCCTCAGGGGCAGACCACCCTCCCCGCCTAGCCTGGCAGCGACAGGCCCTGGTCCACAGATGCCCTGGTGGCTCGGCGCAGGGGCCACACCGGCCCGCTCAGCTGTGCCGGCTGTGAAGGAGCAGCAACTCCAGGCATCTGGCGCTGGGACCAGGTCCCAGCAGCACTGGGTTCAGGACAAATGAGGTGCAAACAGGAGCTGGCTGCTGCCAAGGCCACGCCCATCAGCGACCCGCTGAGGGTCGGCACAGATCTGTGCCCGGCGGTGGGGGAGGGGGGGAGCTGGCCTAGAATCTAACTTCTGAGCCAGCAGCTGAGCGCGCTAGTCACCCGCACCACTTGAAACCTCGCTGTGGCTCCAAAAACCCTCGCTGCCCGCGAGGCACGCCCACTCATAGCCCCGCCTTGGAACTGCACCCCGCCCCCCACCGCCGTGCCAAGTCTGTCTCCCTAGGAGCGGGCGGAAGGTGGTTTAAACTACTGAACTTGAGGTTGGCAGCCCAGGGCACTGCTCCACCGGGGCTCCTTCTAAATGATGTTGGCTGCTATTAACGTGGGTGTGATTTGGGGGGCAGGGATGGCAGGTGCACAGACCACCTTGCTCACCTCCGCAGCGCCCCCCGCAGCCTGGCAGCCTCATGGCGGCTGCAAGGGGACACAGGCGTCCCACCACCAGGTCGCCCTGGCTTCACTCACTCTTGGCGTCAGAAAACTGCAGCACAGAGCGGCCCCTCAGCTGGCGTGGTCCCCACTGGGCAGTGTCCACCCACATCCCTCAACGCCAGCCGCTCCCGTGCTCTGGCTCCCACGTGCTCTGAGCCAGAGCTGCCTGTCGTCTGGGTGCCGCCCTGCGGCAGCTCACCGGTAGTTCTTGATGTGCTCTTCCACCTCGTTGAGGCCCACCGAGTGGCTCAGGGCCAGGTTGTAGGAGCCGGCTTGCACGGAGGAGCCCCAGTTCACCTCTGAGGGCCAGGCATGCAGGAGTGGCAGAGAAAGCACCCATGAGAGGGGGCAGAGGCCACAGGGCCTCCTTTGGGTGCTGAGAACCCGCAGTGCTGGAGGCCTGCTTCCCAACCACGTGGGCTTGGTTGCCCACGGCCCACACAATACATGCTTGCTTACACACCAAAACATCCCCCACTTTGACACAGAACCCCCCCCAGCCCCCCCACCCCCACATGGCTCTCTGGGAGTTGTCCATCCTGCCCAGATGGCTCCCACCAGGGGACCCTGCACACGCCACCAAGCTCTACCCACATGACCTTCCAACATCACGGCCTCCCCCACATACACATCCCTCCTCTGCCCCAGTGTGCCCAGCAAGGGCGGCTGCCCAGGCCCTCAGAGCAACAGGGCCATAGGGTAAGGAAGGCCAGGGGGGCAGGGGTAGGCTCAGAGGAGCTGGTTCTTGGGGAGGGATGAGGAGTCTGGTGACTGGGGAGCCCCTCAGAGGGCAGGGAGGTGAGCAGGGGTACCCCTCAGAGGGCAGGGAGGCGAGTTGAGGGGGCCTCAGCGGGCAGGGAGGCGAGCTGGGGGGCACACCTGGCTTCTTGTAGAGCACATAGAGCAGGAGGAAGATGACCACGGCGATGGCAATGAGAGCCGCCCACCACGTCAGCAGGAACATGATGACCACGGAGACCACCGCCCCGAACAGTGCTGCCCACTTGCTGTAGTACCGGAATGAGGGTCTCCAGCCTGGCGGGGCAGGGTGGGGGCACTCAGCCTTGGGACCCTGCTCCTGGGCCAGAGGGGCAGCGAGGGGCCCAGCCCACGGTACAGACTCACCAGCCATCGATGCTAAGGGGCACGCTGGCGCTGGGCCTGGAGGGCTAGGGAGTTCCACCTGGCCCTGGACTGGCAGTGGCCAGCTCTGGCCGGGCACGGCCGCACAACACGCTGTGTCAACCTCACCACTGCTTCCCGCGGGCCAGGGGAAGGGCCAGGGGCTGAGGACCAGCAGGCCCAGAGGCTGGGCTGGCTTTGCCACCACTAGCGAGAACTGCCGGGTCACAGCCCAGGGCCATCAGGCTTGGCATGCATGGGTTGTGTAAAGCAGCACAGGGGCCGCCCACAGCGCTTTGGGGCTGATTTTTTGAAAAGGACTTTTCCTAAGTTCTAAAGACAGGTCACTTCCATCTGCCAGAAAAATGTCGCTAACAAGCATGTCATTCTGGGCGGCGATGTGGACAGCGTCCCCTAGTGTGGAGGAATGCACTGCCTGCAACAACTCCACTGCAATCAGGCTCCCTGCTCTCTAGGAACCTCAGCCGTCTCCAGAGACTATCGGTGCACCCAGATACGCCCCTGGACGCTTGATAAGGGACGCTGTTGCCAGGGGTCATCAGACAATTCTGACTCAGTCACGCCGGGTGACAAAGCAGAGCAGTCCCAGAGGGTTGGCTAGGCTGTGCGGCACAGTGGGTTATTATGCATGAGGCCGCTAGCCGAAAGGTCAGCCCTTTAAAACCACCAGCCGCTCCTCGGGAGAAAGGTGAGGTTCTCTACTCCTGCAAAGACCGACAGACTTGGGAACTCAGAGGGGCTGTCGACTGTGCCCTATAGGGTCACCATGAGCCAGAATGGATTAGATGGCTCTAAACTCAAAATCTTTGCCATCGAGTCAATTCCGGCTCACAGGGACCCGGAGGACAGGGTAGAACAGCCCGGTGGGCTTCTGAAGCTGTAACTCTTTATGGGAGTGGAGCGTCTCATCGCTCTCCCGAGGAGAGGCTGGTGGTTGCATACTGAGCCCCCAGACTGGACGTCAGCGGGTTGTTGTTGTTGTTCTATAACCCTTACAGGAGCAGGTCTGCCGTGGAGCTGCTGGTGGCTCTGAGCTCCCAACTTGTGGTTAGCAACCAGACACTCATGTAGTGTGCCAGGCCGGCCCCTTTGACGAGGAATGAAACGCACGGCATCGAGTCAATGATGCCTCAGGGCGACCGTCTAAGGCAGGGTAGCACTGCCCCTGTGAGTTTCTGAGACTGTCACTCTCTGGGAGTCAAAGGCCCCTTCTTTCCCCGTGTCGTGCCTGCTGGTTTTGAGCTGCTGACCTTGCAGATGATAGCCCAACATGTAGCTACGACATCATCAGGGTTCCATAGGGAATAGCTATGATGATTGTTATACGGATGTTCCCGTCATTGTTTTCTGCTTAAGGTGTGGCCCTGGTGTGTTCCCCTCCCCCCAAGCTCCCATCGCCAGCCCCCACGGATGGCGTCGCGTCCTCCCATGGAGAAGGGAGGGGCTTGTTTACCTGGCGAGTTTGTGATGGAGGCATGGAAGCAGCTGAAGTTGATGAGGGCGTAGGAGCACAGGAAGAAGTTGGAAATGATGGGGGCGATGGTGTTGAGCTCAGCTTCAGGGACCCAGAGAGAGAGGAAGTCCATGGGGAAGGGCAGTGAGGAGCTGTCTAGCCCACTACCCCAGAGGGTGGACCCTATAGAGACCACTGAGGCTCCGTGAGGCACAGCCTTCTTATCGGTGAAATGGGAGGTGGGAGGGGAGACCCACAGGCTGTGGGATGACCCAGGTGGTGGCTGTCAGATCTCCTGACCATAGTGACAGGAAGAAATTCCTGTTACAGTGTCCGTCCCAGGACACATCCTCTTTCCTTGGAAACCCTGAGAACCCAGCACAAGGCCACCACAGTGGTAACCCCGCAAGAACTGGCCCCTGTCCCGCCCCGCCTCGCTGCCTGGGCCTGCTGCTGGGGGCCTCTTAGACACATGGGGCCCTCTGTGGTGAGTTTGCTGTAGTCTCCTCAGAGCCTGCAGATAAAAGGGGGGTCACATCTGAGTCAGGGGGAGGAAGTGGGCTCAGGGGATGGGGAGGAGAAAAGGGGTCCAGGGTACCCTAGTTCCACTGGACTGCCCCCTCTCTGGGGACCCTGCTGCTCCCACATCTGACTTGGCTCAAGACCCAGGAGCGGCCAGTCTGGACAAACTCACTTGAGTTAAAAGTGCCCAGATGCTGGCATGAGTGACTTGGTACTATGAAGGCAGCTGAGAGCCAGGATCTGGGGTGCCAGGAGCTGCCTCCCAGCCCAGAGAAGGCCACTACCAGCCCCTCTCTCCCCATGCCCTGTCACCTCCTGCAGAGTGAAGGCAAGACCCCTGTCTTGCTTCACGGGGCCGGCCACCTCCCACTTTCTCCCCCTGTCTCTCTGGCTCTCTCTGTGAGGTATCTCACTGGCTAGCCAATCAGGAAACAACAGAGTGCTTAGACAAGAGTGCGTGTATGTGCACAGAGAATGTGAGTGTGTGGGCGAGTCTGGGCATGTGCACACGTGGTGTGCAGTGCATGTGTGGATTAAGGTGTGTGTACGTATTTGTGTGGGCACACGTATGTGGGTTCGCATGTGTCGTGCATGTGTGGCTCTGGGAGGGTGGGTGTTTGCACGTGCAGTATGAGCACTGGCATGGGTTGTGTGTATGTAATTTATATGTAGACACAGGTGTGTGCGTGTGTGTGCTCATGTGCAGTCAACTGTGTGAACCTGGCTCAGTGTGTGGGTATGTTCATGTGTGCGTGTGCCAGACTGTGTGCGTGTGTGTGTTGCTGCCACCTGTGGCACACCTGCTATGTACTGTCACCCCCCTTAAAGATGCGCAGACAGGCCACACAGCGGGCATGTGGCAAGGCCAGGGCAGAAAGCGTTCTCATAACTTCCCGGCCTGCGACTCTCTCTTCTGGGCTCTGGAAGCTGTGCTCTGCTAGTCCATGAGGACCCTGACCACCTTTCAGGGAGCCACCCGTCAGCTCTGTGCCCGACGGCTCTCCTGGGGACGGATTCTGTCTTGGGGTTGGCCAGTGGCCGCACACGGACATACAGAACCCAAAAAGAGGCCAGGGCCCCTGCTACCAAATTGAGGGCCCACCTGCCTGGCATAGTTTGGGAGGCAGCTGTCTGGAGGCTAGTGGAAGGATCCAACCTTACCCCCATTCATCTCCTGCCCCCTCAGAAGTACCCACCTGGGTCTGCTCACAGCCCAGTCCCACCCCCAGCCCCTTACCAATGATGATGAAGGCCACAGCAATGGCGTAGGCCAGCAGGTAGCTGCGCACGGGCTCCCTGTTCTTGCCATAGCCTTTGCCGAAGAAGTCGATCAGCGGGTACAGCTGGTCTTCACACAGGCACTGTGGGCACAGGCCGCCCGCTCATGCCTGGTTGGCACCTGTCACCTCCCCAGAGTCCTTCCTCCACTTGGGTCACAGTTCGTGTTTCTGGTAGATGAGTGACATCCCCTCTCTCCCCACCCCCCAGGGCCGAGGTACACAGCGTGGACAGTGGGAAGGGCTGAAACGTGGGGGGCGTGATTTCAGACTCCGTGACTGCACAGGAGGGCAGGGGCGGGGCGCCCCCACATTTGTTGTCCTGGCCTTCTCCCTTTGCCAGGGCACCTCGATCACATGATTCCCTTGTGCCCACCTTCAGCCCTTTGGGAGGAGCCCTGGTGGAGTGGTGGTTATGCCTTGGGCTGCTAACCACAGGGTTAGCGGTTCAAAACCACCAGCCGCTCCTCGGGAGAAAGAGGAAGCTTTTGACTCCCGTAAAGAGCTGCATTTTCAGAAATCCCTGGGGACATCTCTACCCTGATCTATAGGGACGCTTCGAGTTGGAAACGACTCGATAGTGAGATTTTTTTGGTTTTTCCTCTTAGTTTCAAACCATCACACGGGGACCTTCCACCTGCGCCTCCCAGCCCACCCCTCCCACCCCTGGCCATCAGTAGCCTCACCTGGAAGACTTTAGCGGCAGAGACGAGACAGGCCAGGGCGGAGGACAGGGTGGCCCCAAAGATGCCAGCGGTGATCAGGGGCGCGAAGCCTGACACCATGCTCATGGTCTGCGGGATTTGGGGTTCAGGGCTGCACGATGGGGGGTGGGCCCCGTGTCCCCACCACAGGCAGAGATAGCAGGAGCCTGGGGCCCCGACATCAGCCACAGCCCCTCCCCCAGCGTCCTCACGGTGGGAAGACCCCCGAGGGACCTCGCCCGGGTACCTGGTAATAGTTGATGAGCCCAAAGCGGCAGCTGTGCTGCTGGGCGCACTCGGTGAAGTTCCAGCCGTAGCCGCAGGCCAGGCCCTCGCAGGCACCCGCGCCGGGGGTCACTGTGTCATTTAAGCCCCCCGAAGCATCTCGGACCATGCAGGAGCCTGGGAGGAGGAGGCCAGTGTGGGAGGCTCCCTCCCCTCCCCTCAGCTTTCCTACCCTCCCACCCCCCACTGCTGCCATCTCTTCTCAGGGCAAGATGCTGGGGGTGGGGGTAGGGACGTGGGCATCTCTGTCGTTGTTCCGGGCTGGCAAGTCCGTACAGACTCTTCTTGATCCCACGCAAGACAGGACACACTGCCTGACCCTGCCCGCTGGCTTCATACTTGCTCTGTGGGAGCCCCCTGCTGCAGGCGCTGTGGTCCAGCTTGTCCAGGGCCCGCCTCTTTGTGGCTGGCCCTCCGCTTCACCAAGCATGAGGACCTTCTCCAGTCCCTGGTCTCTCCTGAGAACATGTCCAAAGTCGGCGAGACCAAGCCTCTCCATCCTTGCCTCTGGTGGTGTCTTATAAGGCACATCTGTTCATCAGCTCGGACAGCACCGTCATTCAAATACATCGATTCTTCTCCCATCTCCCTTTTTCACCTGCAGAGGAGCTACGACTGCCACACCGCCCTGCGTGCGTCCAGTCTTGTCACAGGCCTGTGCAGACACCATGGCTTGGCCCAGGGCCACCTCGGTCCTCTCAGCAACACCCCTGCCTTCCAGCACGTTAGCGAGGTCTTGTGCAGCAGATCTACCCATCATCTCAATCCCCATGAGACCGTCGTTATCCGACGAAGCTCTTTGGGGGTCAGAGGAGAGTAACAACCATGTTTTTGTTAAGCCGCCATCAACTGGGGTCTAAGTCACGGCGCCCCTGTGTGTTTGCGAGCGGAGCTCCAGAGGCGTTTTCGATGGTGGTCACCTTTCAGACGTCGGTCACCAGGCCTCTCTTCCGAGGTGCCTCTGGATGGATTTGAACTTGCCACTGGTAGCCAGATGCTTGACCATTCGTTGGCACTGCTAGGGGCTCCAGCGGCAGAATAACAATTGGCTCAGGCGGGAGCCCTGACAGGGTGCCAGGCAGGGTCTAGACCTTTCCAAGAACCGGGGAGGCCGGTATTCTGCTCCCTGGGTGAAGGCTTTGGAGGGAGGGCATGTGTCAGGGCTTCAGTGACACAGCCATGGCTGGCTGTCACTGGGGGGTAGGTAGCCCCTCAGCTGTATGGGATCAGTGTGCCTCCCAAGCATACTTGGGAGGGTCTTGGGGAGGTACAGGTATAGGCAGCACGGGCACGGGCCCCACCCAGCCCCACCACTCTGGCTGTGTGGCTTTGGGCAGGCGACTTAACCTCTCTGAGCTCTCGTTCCTCCTCAGTACAATGGGGGCACCACAATGCCTGGATTACATGAGAGAAGGCACTCACTAAATAAGGCCAGTGCTATTGGCAGCGTCATCATCATCATCATTCCTGGAGTCAGGGTGTGATTTAACGTGGATGAGCTTCACGCCCATGGGTCCAGAGTCCCAAGGCTGGAAAGTACCAGAAGGATATATCCAACCCAACACCCCGAAGTCTCCCACAAAGGTGCTCTGGTCCAACAAGATGACTGCAGGCCAGGGTCCTAGACTGGACTTCCTGGGGCCACTGAGCGCTCCAGCCCGGCTCCCTGTCAGACAAGCCAAGCTCCACTTTGTGGCACCCCCCACCCCTGGGCCTGCAGTGGCCTGGCTCCCTCCCACGGGACCCAGAACAAGGCTGTGTCATGTGCCAACAGGCCCTTCTCCCTTCTCCCTTCCTCCACAGCCTGTCACTTACCAATAGTGGCGGAGATGGCCAGGTAGGAGACAGTAGTCCAGAAAATGGCCATGAGTGTTCCCTTGGGGATGGCTACCTCGGGGTCCTGGTGAAGAGAGGGCATCAGACAGCCTCAGGGCCTCCTTCCTGTCCCTGGCCCTCTTGCCTGAGTGACCCCTGGCCTTGGCCTCTCAGCACCCACTAGTCACCGAGCAGGCTGGGAGGAAGAGAGAACACAGGACCCAGTGAGAGAAGGCCCACTGGGCCACACCCAGTCCCCCAGAGAGCCCTGGCTGGCCCTGTGTCAGGGTCCTGGGGGCGGGGGGACGTAGCAGGGCTGAGTCAGCAGCCTTTGTGCAATTCCAGATGGCCCCTGGGGCAAACATCCCTGCCCCCCGCCCCCGGCTTGTTTCCTAGTGCCTTGATCCCTGGTGTGTAAAGTGGGGTGACAAGGACGATGGCCGGGTGAATGGGCCCACATAAGCTCCCCTGCCAGGGCCAGGTTCATGCCTGCCCTGGGACACACAGCTCTGCCTCTGCCTCGGGGCTTCAGGAGACAGGTCCCTGGCCAACCATCCTGCTCTGCTCCCAGACAGGGCCCAGAAGGCTCTGTGCTGTCCTCACAGCAACATGGGCCACCAGGTGGCCAGAGCAGCTTACTTGGCTGCTAACTAAAGGTTGGCGGTTCAAACCCCAGCCCACATCATGGCTCTGGGGGAGAAAGCCTGGTGATCAGTGGGGATCTACTCTGCCACAGGGGTCCCTGCAAGCTGGGAACTGGTCACTCAGCATCAACAGCGGGACCAAGGACCAATTTGTCATCAGCCCTTCTCAGTGGTGTCATTCGGGCTGGTGATGCCCCAGTGCAGTAATTCATGGTGCCTGCCTGCCATGCCCCTCACCAACACCACCACTCCCCTCCCATGACGCTCTTCCTGCTCCAGATGGCTCGACTCCTTTCCAAACCAGCCTCTGCCATCCCGCCATGCCCACCCGTAACGACCCTACAGGACAGGGCAGAGCCACCCCTGTGGGTTTCCGAGACCGTAACTCTTTACAGGAGCCGAAGCGCCGTCTCCCGAGGAGCTGCTGGTGGTTTCAAACCGCTGACTCTGCGGTTAGCAGCCCAACGTGTAAGCACTGGGCCTTGAAGGCTCCTTTCTTGTCACAGTATCGCCACTACAACAACCAGAAAGCGTGGCATCTTCGGTGAGGCCGAAAACACCCGCGACGACAAAGACAGCAGCCGGGGCTTGTAGTGCTCCCGCAAACCCGGTGGCTTGAAGCATCGCCACACGTGGGTCAGAAGGAGAGCCAGTGAGCATGCGTCCGAGGATTCGGAACGGAACGCAGCTTAGCAGAGGGTTTGAGCCGTGTCGTTTGGGCTGATGAAAAATGACTTGTTGTTATAACAGCCTACATGGCTCTTTGTATAAAAAATCATACTTTCCCCGCCCAGGGGGCACAAACAACAGAAACCATGAGGGAAGGGATACAGCAGTCAGTGTAAGACATGAAAATAATAATACTTTATAATTTATCAATGGATCACGAGGGTGGGAGAGGAGGAGGGAGTAAAAGAGGAGCTGATACCAAAGGCTCAAGTAGAAAGCAAATGTTTAGAAAATAGTGATGGCAGCATATGTACAAATATGCTTGATACAATTGATATATGGATTGTTATAAGAGCTGTAAGAGCCCCCAATAAAATGATCTTTTAATAAAAAAGCAATAATACTTTTCTAACGAAACACGGCACAAAAGCCTTATGGACAGACAGACACCCTGTGACAGTGTCACTCCTCGGGGTCCACACGCCCCACGCCCTCTCTAAGTCTCCACCCCAGTGTCACCTCCTCAGAGCGACCTCGAGCCACCTGCTAACACTGCAACCTCCTCCTTCTCCCTGTTACTTGTCACATCTGACATATGCCACAGTTAGCATCTCTCTTTGTCCTTGGCCTCAGCTGGCATGATGTCTCCTTCACGGGTGTGTGTGTGTTTGGGGGGATTGTGTCTGCTTTGTTCCCCACATTCTGCAATAGGCAGGCAGGCAGATAGACAGACAGACGCTCAAGCAGCAGGGTGGGAAGAAGTGTGATAAAGTCTACGCTTCTTGGTCCCGGAAACCTGCATTCCAGCTTCTCGGCCTCCAGGGGGCACCAAGCAAGGGCCTGAGCCCACCCCCTCCCCTGGCTGCTGGTCTGTAGCATGGGTGTGATGATGGTATGACACCCTTAGGGCTGCCCCTAAGGACAGTGCCAGTCACATGGCAAAAAAGGACGCAGCTCCTCCTCTGGGCCACGCTGTTCTCAGCACCTCCCACAGGTGGCTCATGGGAGCCTCACCACCCTTTTCGAGGTGGAGGCTCGGTCAGTCCCTTTAGCAGATGGGGAAATGGAGGCTACAAGGGTTTTGCTTTCTGTTTTCAGGAAATTGCCTGAATTATTAGAGCAAAGACGCCGCAAACAAGAACTGGCCCAAGGAAGTCCTGGTGCGGGAAGCACATGCCCCTTCAGGGCTTGGGGTCACTTAAGGCAAAGTGACAGGTGGCCTGAGACAGATACTTGTACATGTGGCCTGGTGGCAACCTAGCTAAATTCTCAGGTGATGGTCTAGTGAGGGTCTTGGAGGAAACCAGGCTGCCCAGGGCGGGAGTGACAGCAATGACAACTGCCATGGAGAGCTGGTACAGGGGCCCTGGGGACAGCAGAGGTGTTTAGGGACCTCCAACACAGAGCCAAGGGGTCAAGGCAGTGAAGAGACCTCGGCAAAAATGGTGTGCTTTGGCAAGGAAACAGTTGAGACAGTCTTCCTCTTAGGCTGAGTGACCCCAGGACACAGGGAGGAAAGTCAACTATTTTGAGGTGCCCATCTAAGCCTAGAGCACAGCAAAGGGCAATCAACACCCTCAAAATTGAACTGAATTGAGTTGGACTGAGTGGAGTTGAGTTGGGTTGAGTTGGACTGAGTGGAGTTGGGTTGGGTTGAGTTGGGTTGGGTTGGGTTGAGTTGGACTGAGTGGAGTTGGGTTGGGTTGAGTTGGACTGAGTGGAGTTGGGTTGGGTTGATTTGAGTTGGACTGAGTGGAGTTGGGTTGGGTTAGACTGGGTTGGGCTGAGTTAGATTGGGTTGAATTGAGTTGGATTGAGTATGAGTTGGGTTGGGCTGAGTTGAGTTGGACTGAGTAGGTTGGACTAGGTGGAGTTGTGTTGGGCTAGATTGGGTTGGGCTGAGTTGGATTGAGTTGAGTTGGACTGAGTAGAGTTGGATTGGGTTGAGTTAAGTGGGTGTGGGTTGGATTGGATTGGATTGAATTCAATTGGGTTGGGTTGGATTAAGTTGAGTTTGGTTGGGTTGGCTCAAATTGGGTTGGGTTGAGTTGAATTAAGTTGGACTGAGTGGAGTTGGGTTGAGTTAAATTGGGTTGTCTTGGATTGGACTTGACTGCATTAGAATTTAGAAGCTCCTGTCCCCTGGTCTGAGAAGAGAGAAAACAAAATTCTAACTACAGCCACCAGGCCAGGAGATAGGAGGAGCAGGCTCACCTTGAGGTCCCCAGAGATGTTGGCCCCTGCCAAGATGCCTGTGGCTGAAGGGAAGAAAATGGAGAACATCCCAAAGAAGCTGCCATCCATGCCTCGCCAGTCGGGCACCAAGTTCTGGACAAAAATGTCCCCTGGAAAACCAAGACTAAGTCAGGGTCACTCTGGCTTCACTCGCTGGGTCCTGCTGAGGCAGCCAGTGGGCTCCTGTGGCCATCTCTGGTCATGGGAGTTGGGCGTCCCATCCTCCCAGTGCTCACGGGGTGGGTCTGACTTGTGGGTGGTCTGCTCCTGCCGCCAGAGCTCTGGGCAGGGCCCCTAGTCATATGCACCTCTGTAGCTGAAGAAGCCTTTGGAAGCCTTGTCCTCAGACGGTGGGATCAGGGTCCCAACCAGGTAGTTGGCAAAGGAGACCATGATGATGAGGAAGAACAGCACCTGGGCCTGGAGAGCAGAGGGAGACCTGGAGTCGGATCGTGGGCCCTGCCTCCTCAGGGCGTCCCAGCAGTGAGGGCCGTGCCCAAGCCTCACACACATCCAATTCCCTCCACCTGCCTTCAGCACCCTGCTCTAGGAGTTAAGGCAACCACAGGCTCTGCCTTGGCTCCAACCAGCCAACCAACCCACCGCCATCGCGTTGACAAAGGCATCAAGGAGAACTTGTGTGGGGGGAAGGGCCAGGTGGGATCCTAGCCCTCATGGTGACCCTCAGTTGGGTCTCTTAGGCTGTACGTCTTTTTTTCTGAGGCACCTCGGGGTGGACTCCAATGCCCACCCTCTCTGTGCATCAGCCCAGGGACTCCATTTACTGGGCACATGACCCCGATGGAGCCTGGCTTCAGTGTGGCCATGTAGCCTTCAGTATGGCCATAGGACCAGGCTGTAGTCCTGGAAGGGGTGGAAGCAGAGGTGGCCCAGGGTACTGGCAGCCTGTGCTACGGAAGGAGGGATTTGGGTGTGTGGGCATGGGCACCACCTGGGTGCTGGTCACACTGAAGATAGAGTAAGCCTCCCTGCTTGGGGGTCCTGGCCACAGCAGCAGGACTTCCAGCCTCACTATGAATGACACTGTGAGGCAGGGACCTGGCCCCGCCTCCCAGCCCCCCTCACCTTGGACTCCCACTCCATGCCGGCCAGGGAGATGGCCAGCAGCACGGTGACGGTGACCACGCCGATGATGCGGATGTCATTGGTGGGGTCCACGATGGGCGTGCCGTACTCCTGGGGGAGGGACAGGCAGCCTGCTTCTGCCCTCTGAACCCCACCCGCCCAGGGACCCTCAGCCTCAGAGTCACCCAGTGGTGGTGGGGCTTTGGAAGGAAAACTGAAGACTCAAAGCGACCCTACCCCCCAGCCAGCTGCTGCCTCTGGGGAGCCCTCCAAGGGACCCGTAGGGGATCTTTTCTGAATGAGATGGTCACTGGCACCACAGTGGCCCCTGGGAGACTGGGAGATGAAACCAGGTGGGGGCGGGAGGTAGGCCCAGGGGATGGGCAGCTCACCTGCAGCAAGTCCCGCACGGTCTCTGCGAAGCCCACGGTGTGCATGGCCACAGCCACAGCATTGGCAAAGGCGAAGATGAGGCCGATGGAGCCCCCCAGCTCGGGGCCGAGACTCCGGGAGATGAGGAAGTAGGTGCCACCTAAGGGGGTCAGAGCCTGCGCCGTGGGACCAGAGGGCGCAGCTGGCAGGCTGGGCTCAGAGGAGGCAGAGGCTGAGGCAGGGGGCAGGGCTCAACTGGAAGGAGCAACCTGCCCCCGCCCCCCAGTTTGGAGGGGGCACTTGTGCAAGCGAGGAGCTGAAAGCCAGGGGAGGGGTGACCACAGGGGGGCTAGGGAGCAAGGTCAGGGCAGTGGGGGCGGGGGGCGCCTACCTGACTTGACCTTGCCATTGGTGGAGATGGCGGAGATGGAGAGGCCAGTGATGGAGGTGACCATGACGGAGAGTAGGATGATGACCCAGGTGAGGACTGTGGGGCAGGGTCACAGGAGGGGCCACGTGAGGAACCTGCATCTGCCCACCAGCTCACTCTGAGACTGAAGTCCTTCCCCTCCCTGAGCCTCTCAGTTATCTCCTCTGAAAGCAGGCCTCTGCTCCGCTCCTAGTTGGTGGACAGTGGCTACGCACGGAGCTGCTGCCCTCAGGGCCAGCAGTGCAACCACGGACTGCTCATCAGGAGAAAGATGGGACAAGGAGGACAGTCTTGGGGACCCACGGGGGCAGTTCAACCTGTCCTACAGGGGGGCTGTGAGCAGGCATCGGCTCGACTGCAGGGAGTTTGTCTTTGGGGTTGGGCCCGTTCTGAAGATCCACCGTGGGTCATTAGGTAGGTGCAACGGCAGCCACTCAGTTCGAATCTCTGGGAAGTGGGCCCTGGGCCTCATAGAACGATCTTTGTGTCATCGTGGAAGCTGACTCGGGGAAACCCCATGACCCCATTCACGACCCAGCAAAATGGCGCTCCGTCTTGCGCCCGCCCCACGCTCAGCTGCAGCGCAGGCCGTGTTTGGTCCCTATTGTTTCCATTGGCTGGTTTTGGGAAGTAGATTGCCAGGTCGTGCTTTGTCGTCTTAATCTGGAAGTGCCACTGAAACCTGTTTAGCATCTTAGCCTCCACTGCTGGCCGGGCCCCAGGGTTACCATGCCCGCTTCATTGATAGAGAAGCCAAGGCCCAGAAGGGGTAAAAAACGAGCCCAAGGCGACACAGCATGGTGCAGAGCCAGCATCTGAACATTTGTCCACAGTTCTAGTCCCTAAACTAAGGTGACCAGATTTAAAGCAGGACACCATTGACCGGGGGCGGGGGTGGTGGTTCTTGATTAAAAATTTGGTCTATGTGGACCAAATAGACCGTTCCATAGCTTGTTGTGCATTCTTTCCAAAAATCGGGACTTTTTAAAAACGCCAAAGATCGGGACTATCCCACCAAAAGCGACACGTCTGGTCACCTTACCCTAAACCCAATGCTCTGAAGTAGAAATGGACCAAAGTGGTAAGGGACTTCCTTCAGTGTAGACAAACCAGTGAGAGCCTGGGGGCTGCTAATCGCCACCCGCCCTCCTCCCAGCCCCTATGCAATGCTCACTACCCTGAGCTCCACCACTCGAGGGCCACAGGCCAAGACGAGAGGGAGAAGGCCTGGCCCGGGGTCTCTGCAGTCCAGGATGAGCCCACTGGGTGGCACTCACCTATGCCAGCCTGGGCAGTGATCCAGGGGAGCCGCAGGTAGAGAATCACCCCCCAGATGTTGAGCATGCAGCGGATCTGGGAGGAGAATGGGGTCAGAGCCTGAAGGCACAAGACCCTGTCCCCCTTCATGGCAGGCCCTCGGGAGCCTGGGCCCTTTCACGTTTTCTAGTTCTGTGGGCCAAGAGTGGGTGGGCAGGGACACCTGCCAGCCCACCCCCTCTCCTGGTTTCCAACAAGGCTGAAGACAGTCTATGGACAAGCTCGCACTTCACTCCTATGCCAAGCCCCCTCCCTGTCTCTGCCTGCCCCAGCCAGGGCCCGACTGACCAGCTGTTGGCCCAGGGCAAATGCCAGGGGAGCAGATGCCCCACATTCAAGCATAAAGCCTAGCAAGGGCTGCTGGGGCCCCAGCTTCTAGGTTGGAAGTAAAAGCTGAGGCCACAGTGGGCTGAGGCCCTGCTGCCCGGGTGGGTGAGGCGGATATGGCCCTGACCCCATACACAATGTGGGGTGATGCAGGCATGTGGGATTTAAAACCAGAGCGGCTTAGAAGACCCCCAGTTGGCTCTGAGATCCTAAATGGAGACCGCCCAGACTTGGGAAGCCAGCACAGACTGGGAGGGGGACACGACTCTGGCTCTGAGCCTCTAGGAGGTAGGGGGTCAGGTGGGGAGTCCGGCAGAGATCAGAACTCAGGCTCCCTGCCTCCTGGGACACAGGGCTAACTTTCTCCCACGTTCCCGCAGTCTTCTGAGTAAAGTCTCCCGATGCCTCCCAAAGCCCAGTTCGCTGGACTCTTAACAGGATTAGTCTGAGTTCCACACTGGGCCGAGCCTTCCCTTCCCCGCCTCAAAGGAGACCTTGGAAAACTCCTGAGAGACCAGTTGACTACTAATGGGCTTTGAGTCTCCACTCTGCCCTCCCCCTCAGTCCCACTGATATGATCTTTGTTTGTTTGACCCCCCTGTTAGAGGGGCCACAGGAAGAGAAGTGCCAGTCAGGGTGCAGTATAGCACTGATGAAACATACAACCTTCCTCTAGTTCTTTAATGCTCCCCCACCCCCACTGCCATGACCCCAATTCTATTTTACAAATCTGGCTAGATCAGAACATGTACACTGGTACAGATAAGAGCTGGCAACACTGGGAACCCAGAACAGATAAACCCCTCAGGACCAATAAGTGGAGCATCAATACCAGGAGGGTAAGGGTAGGGGGTGGGGGAGTAAGGGGGAACCAATCACAGTGATTGATGTATGCCCCCCAGGGGGACGGACAGCAGAAAAGTGGGTGAAACGAGACAGCAGTCAGTGTAAGACATGAAAAAAAAAGAATAATAATGTATAAATGATCAAGGGAACATGGGGAAGGGAGGTTAGAGGAGGAAGGGGAAAAATGAGGAGCTGATGCCAGGGGCTCAAGAAAAAAGACAACGTTTTGAAAAAGATGATGACAACATAGATACTGATGTGTTTGATACAATGGATATATGTATGGATTGTGATAAGAACTGTAAGAGCCCCCAATAAAATAAAACCCGAAACCTCCGGTGAGAATTGGTTTAGGGCGCCACCTGGGGGCTTCTCGAGGAAGCGCAGCTTCTTCTAATACCAGCTCACAGGCATCGATCAGCCCTTAGCTCTCTCGCTGCTCAAAAACCAGTGCCTTCGAGTTCATTCCGACTCCGCAGGTTTTCAAGGCTGGCATCTTTCAAGAGAAAGCTGATAACATTTTTCTTCCCCGGATCGACTGGTGGGCTCGAACCGCTGACCTTCTGGGTAGCAGCCCAGCGCTGATCTAGCTCAGTGTACCGCAGGGCCTCAACATCATAGGACTAACAGATGGCAGTTAGCTTGCAGGTCCCCCTCACAGGTAGGGGAGGGAGCCATGGGAAACACACATGCGGTCTGGGCTCAGGCTGGGAGCACAAAACAAACCAGTGTGCAGATGGGGAAACAGAGCCCCAGGGTCCTTCTGAGTCAGAGCTGAGCCCAGAGGGAGCCCTGCCTCCCGCCCCCCTCCCCACCTGAGCCCCTCCCCACCCACTCACCATCACGCCCTTGACCCAGCCGAAGCGCACAGGCTCCCCAGGCTCCTTCTTGCCATCGGCACCTGCCTCCTCCTCCTCCACCAACCCATCGGTCATCTCGCTGCTGGGCCGGCTGTCCGAGGCCAGGGCATGCAGGTGGCTGCCTTCCTGCAAGGCAGCCCAGAGATCAGGGTCGCCAGGCGGGCTGCTGGGGAGGCTGGATCTCTGGATGGGGGTCTCCCCAAGCTCCTCAGTTAGCTGGGTACTGAGAAGCCCTTGAAATTAAGCTCCGCAGTGGCAAGGGGCAGATGCTGGGGCTGGGTGCCTCTATGAGAACCACAGGCCTTGTACAGCCTATCAAGGCACAGGCGGAGCTACTGTCATGTATCCCTTTCCCCAGTAGGTGATGCAATGTGTCCAAGACCACTCAGCAGGTACCTGGCGAGCCGGGGCTGGAGCCAGGCCTTCACATCCGAGGTGCTCGGGCCTGAGGAGGCCGAAACCTCCTTTGGGTTCTCTGACCGACGGCTCATCTCCGCAGCCCTGAGTGGAGCCCAGGAAGCCAGGAGGTGGGTTTGCTCAGGGGTGGGTGCGGGGCAGGGAAGAGCCTCAACCCACGAACCCAGAGACCTTTTGTCCAGTTGTCCAATGGGGCAGGTGAGGCCCAGCTTCCAACCCTCCGTCCCCTACAAGAGCACCTCCCAGGGAGTCCCCGATGCAGCCCTGACCTGCCCCTCTTCTCCCCATGTCCTCCAGGTGTGGGCAACCTCTGCTGGCATGCCTCTCCTGACGGGGGGCTCATTCTCTCTGAAGACAGCCCATTCTGCCTTTGGGCTGCCAGGGACTGGGCCGCGGTGTGTCCATGCGTTCTAGCTCCCCCGGGGCTACTTCCTTTGACACTCTCCGATGGCCAGCTGAGGCTCAGAGAGGTCAGGAGGCAGGGCCCAGCCCACAGGACAGGTAGGCAGGCAGGCCGGCCGTGGCCCACCTTACCTTGAGGAAGGAGTGCAGGTCGGCCAGCGTGGGCCGGACCCTGCGGGGCTCGCCGGGTAGGGCGCTGTTGGCATAGTGCTCGTAGGCGGGCACCACGTCGATGGTGTTGTAGCCGAAGGTGCGCAGGTACAGGGTGCTGCCATGTGTCAGCTGGCTGGGCTGCAGGCTGCTGTCATAGGCCGCGGGCGGTGGGGGCTCATCGCCCCCCAGCAGGGTGCTGATGGTGAAGCGCCCGCTGCACAGGGCTGGGTCTCCAGGCATCTCTGAGACCTGCAGCTCCGCCATTGCGACTCTGGGTGCTGAAGGAGGGGGCCAGGGTCGGTGGGGACGTCAGAGTGGCTTTATAGGCCGGGCCTGACACAGGGAGAAGGCAGGGCGATTGGCCCAAACCGCCTGCGACTGGCCAGCAGGGTCTCTGGATGGGTAAGAGGGGGGAGCACGTGCCCTCTGCCCTCAGGCCACCGTTTGATCGCTGAGATAGCAGCCCGGGTGGGTGGGTGGAGGGTGGGCTGGCCCCGAGCCAGAGGCAGTACTGGGGGCGAGAGGGGGAGCCCAGCAGCCCCTGGACCCTGGAGGGCGGTGCAGACTGCAGCCAGGACCCAGGAACACCTGCCTTTGTGAGTTCTTGCCTCTCCCCTTGGGGGGCGATTTGGTGTTTGAGTAGCTGAGTGGCATGGCAGGGACCCAGGTTTGTCTCTCACTTCAGCCTGTCTCCCAGAAGCACCCTGGGGCTGCCTTATCCATCATACACTCAGCACTCTACTAACCGAAAGGTCGGCCGTTCAAACCCACCCAGAGGCTCCGTGCAGAAAGACGAGGCAGTGCTTCTGTGAGGGTCACAGCTGTGCCGATGCTCTGGGGCAGTGCCCCTCCATAGGTCAGGGTGTGGAGAAGCAACCTGGTGGGGGTGGGGTCACTGGGTCCCCTTCAGGGATGAAAAACTAAGGCCCCAGGGGTGCTGCCAGGGTGGTCAATGGCCAATCCTATGGCGATGGCCTCGGATGAAGCCCTCAGAAGGGCTTGCCCTCTCCTCGGTGGCCAGCTCCCTGTAACTTTGGGCTGATTCAGGCCTGCGCCCTGCCTCAGCCCATCTCTCTGGAGGGGCTGCAGGTGCCTGTAGACTCACCACCCCACCCTTCTTCCCCCCTCCCACAGCTACGGGCCTGGCTCGGGGCCTGCCTCTAGCAGGGCAGGGGCAAGCAGAGATGACACACGCCAGCAGGTACGGTCACCGTGCACTGCTGCCCTCTTGACTGGTAAATCTGACGGCTTTTACAAAGAACCTTCCTGAGCTCTTGACCCCACCCCGCATTGGTGTCTGCTTCCCAGGGTGCTCACGGATTGACCAGGGGCTCACAAGGAAGCCACTCCTCCCTCCACCCTCATCCTGAGTCATTCACTTAACACACGTGTGGGCACCCATCGCCTGGGCTGAGTTGGAGTCACAAGAGGGAGAGGCCAGCCAGTGGGTGGTGGGGGCTTCCTGGAGGAAGGGACCTCTGCCTTGAGAACAGATAGGCACCCAGGGAAGGGTGGGGGACGCCGCCTGGGCCAGTCCTGTCTCTTCAGGCTTGGCCACTCAGTGCTCCCATGGGTCTGGGGCCAGTTCAAGTAGCAATGAGTTCGGGGGCTCTGGGGCCTCCGGATGCAGACAGGCGTGCCCACCCAGGGCCGGCTACCATAGCACAGGGAAGGGGTGGCCCTCCAAGGTAGGGGGTGCTTAAACTGGGTCTCGTTTTCCTGTTAAAGTGTGTCTTTCTGAGGACCCGGCTGAAAGGACAGAAGCTCCTGAGTGGAGACGAAGCCCATGTCTGTTGGTGAATGCTGGGGGCCCTGAGCGGGAGGGGCTGCGTGGGCATCCCCACCTGGCTGCACAGCCCCATAACTTCCTCAATGTCTCCAATGTCTCCTCTGAACCACCTGCTGGCCTCCCCTTCCCGGCTCTGCAGTTGCCCCAGTCCCAACCCAGCTGCCAGCCCAGGCCCCAGGCATGGCGCCCTTCCCAAGTGCCCCCTCCACTGCCCGCACCCCTGCTGGTTACTCATTCCCTCTGTGGGCCTCACTGCTGATTTTATCTCCCTCTGGCTCTTAAACTGCCACTTTACTGGTGACAATGCCATTCCTGCACACCATAGCCCTGGGGCAGCTCTGGAAAATTCCCGATTAAGATCTCAGGAGGGGAACAGGCCAGCAGGAGTTGGTCAGCCAGGGCTGGCTTCCAGCAGGACCAGGTCCTGGGGAGAGTCAGGGGTGCCAGATCTGCTGGGTGACCTTGGCCAAGTCACTTTGCCCTCCCCCCTCAGCAAAAGCCTGGTCCCCATCGTCCAGGAGGGGGTGCCTCCCTCCCCGCAGCATCTCTCTGGAGGGGCTTAAGCAGGGACCCTCCCTCCAGGGGCTTCTCCAAGGCACACTGCCCAAAGCACAGCCCCCCACCCCCTTGTGAGGGGACACCACCAGGGGCCACAGGCACTGCCCACCGGGGGCGGGGCGGGGAGTCCTCTCGTGAGCAGCTGTTCTGGCAGCTTTACAACTAAAAGTGGTCCAGTTTAACCTAATCCCCTACTCAAAATAAGTATTATGGGGGTAAGGGGAAGTATACGGGATGAAATTGAAGCTAAAGTTGGTAAGAGAAAACCTTACACGGAGAAGGAATTTTTCATTTTAGCTTTATAGTATTGCTTGATAGGAATAAGGCAGAGAGGGTGTGTAGATTAAATGTACATAAAAGTAAAGGTGAATGGGAAAGTTGCTACAATGAAAGGCATAATAATACTGGTATTTTTAGTTAGTTCTTGAACGATTAATCATTTAGGTATTAAGCCTGATAGTGGGGGTAGGCTTCAAATGGATAAAAAGATTAATAAGAGGACAATTATTATTAGTGGCGAGTTATTTCATACTCTGGATAATGACGGAGTTGATGAAGCTACAGGACACATTAACAAGAGAAGGCTGATGATGTGCAGACACGCTCATTCAGTATGATGAGGGACGTGTGGACAGTGAGGAGCAGTGGGTGACTGTGACTTTCCCGTAGTCCTTTGAGTTAATCCTCCTCCTAACGCCCCAACTAGGAAGCAGAGAGCAGCGAAGTCAAGATGATGTTAAGGTTCATAGAGAGCAGATTTGACAGAGGATAGGGGAGCAAGCTTTGCCAGGCTAAGGGAATTAGGCTTGTTGATAAGAGCTGCTTCGGGCAGTCAGCAGTGAAATGGGGCTACTCCTACGTCTATTATTAGGGCACTCAGTCTGATTCCTGAGCGGCTGTCTTCGTTTCTGTCAGAGTTCATTGACCTGAACACACAAAATGTTGTGAAGCTGCTATCAGAGGATGGAGGCAGTTGCTTGACTAAGGACATAGTTTGTGGCAGCTTCAATGGGCCGTGGGCTGTGCGATTTTATAAGAGGAATGATGGCAAACGTATTTACTAACTATCGCCATAACAGAACTGCAACAGCAGAGAGGAGAGCTTCCCAGTCTGAGCCTGTGTCCGGGACCCAGAGATGCTGGGCTGGTGTGGAGGGGGAGGGCCCTGCCCCCTAAGGTGGCAGAGAGGGGAGCAGGCAGGCGAGGATGAATGGGGGCTTCTGGGGAGAGAGGGGAGTCCTGGGGAGGGCTGGCGGCAAGAAGGAGACGAGGCTGCAAGGATCGCACTGCATCGTCCACACGTTTATTGAGCACCCCCTGCGACCAGGTCTTGAGCTCGGCCATGGGGACAGGGGAAGGAAGCAAAGGCCTGGCCCTGGGGCTCACATTCTGGGGGAGAGCATGGAGCACAAGCAGCAGCAAGCAGACAGCGAGCTGTCGGGAAAGCGTGCAGGGGGGCTGTGTGCTGGAACCTGGGCAGAGCCCCCAGCAGAGGGAGAGCAGGGAGGCAGTGTGGCCTCGGCTGCAGGGCTAAGGTGACGGGGCTGGAGGCCTGGCAGGGGCACATGGCTAATATTGAAAGACCACTTCACTGTTGCATGAAGAGTGTGCAGGGAGCCAAGGGCCAGGCGAGTGGACCAGGCCGGGGTCACTGCAGGGGGCCAGCACAGGCCAGGCTGGCGGGATGCTAAGCAGTGTTACTGAACTGGGCAAGCTCCCTGTGGGGCAGGGGGGACTCCACGAGGGACCAGTGTGCCTTTCTGACCGGGAGCCTGGTGGGAGGGAGGGTAGAGGACTAGACCCCACCTGGGAGCCTCTCACCAGGGCCGATGCCACTGCCTGCCCTGAAGGGGGTTGTAAACGGGGCCTGGTGTGCATGCATGTGCATGTGCATGTGTGTGCGTGTGTGTTGCACGAAGCTTCCCAAGCGCTCCGAGGGCATTCTCAGTCAGCACGCTCACACAGACAGGCTCCCCCCGCCCCCCACGGCGCCGCGGGCCGCTGTCTCTCCTGGAGGCTGGCCTGCAGAGAATGGGTATGATGCAACCCTGGTGTCGTGAAATAGCCGGGTAAGAGGATGCGCTGCTCGTCGGCCTGATTCACAACACCAGCTGCAGCAACAATACCAGAACTCGGGCCGCCGGCGTCCTCGGCGCGTGCGTGGCTCCACAGGGCTGGACACGGCTTGTTATCACAGAAGGCCACCCCAGGCCTGGGGCCCAGGGAGGCTGGGCCCGGTCCTCTTGGCCTCACAGGCTTGGCAGGAGATGGGGAGGGAAGCACCCCCCACCCCCACCCTGGGCAGCGGAGCACTGGGAAAACTGGGTGCCCGAGGCACGAGGGCCCTACTGCCCTCTGGTCTGTCCGCCAGACAGTGTCACTCAGAGGGACACGAGTGCCAAGGGGGCAGGGGGTGCTTCTGAAACTAAAGCAAAGGCCACAGCGGCGGCCCCATCGGGCAGGTAGAACTACCCTTGTGGGTTTCTGAGACGGCAACTCCTTATGAGAGCAGAAAGCCTCGTCTTTCTCCCGCTGAGCGTCTGGTGGCTTTGAACTGCTGACTTTGCAGTTAGCCCAGCACATAAGCCATTATAATGAGTTAAGTCCTGGGGCCTTCCTCTTGACGGCCAGGCTCAGGTGGTGTTCTGGTTTCCGATTTACCACTTAGCCAATTTCCATTCCCAAGCAATGGTAGCGATCAATAGTGTATGGTGCTAGCACAACTTGGGCCCTAAGGCGCAGGGCCAGGTGTGATCACTGCCCGCAGGCTCATGGAATAGGGTCACCAACAGTCACAGCCTAAGGAGAAGGTGGCACCACCCCTGGATAAAAAGCCACGTGGCCTCCGAGAGGGGTGGCTTCCTCTGGAGGGGTCAAGGGTGTGCTTGGGGTGTACAGAAAAGCAA